CATAAACAGGTAAGTGTGCTCTGAAAGCTCTGCACACAGGGAAAGCAGCTGAGCTGGGTTTATAGGCAGCTGCCACCAGTACCACCTTACTGTGCTGCTCACCTGCCAGTGTGGGGCATGGCAGCCACTCGGCACATATGGACGCCCTGGGCTGGGTTCTAGGGGGAGAGTTCACAGGGGAAGGAAAGGCAGGTCCATGGATGGATGACAGGAAGAGTGGAGGGGAGGAGCGTGTGTCAGCTACGCCCAGGTCAATCCTGGAAAAAACTGTCTCTTGTTTATCTTATAGACAGTGCATTGAGAGCTCAGAGGTAGGCAGGAGGGGCCCAGGGGATGCACAGCATCACAGTGTGGCACGACTGACCCCTCGCTTTAGCTGTCACCTTTGGGAGCATGATGAGTGTTGAGCACCTCCCACAGGGTTTGTCTAAGTTACATGTGTTGTGTTGCTCCCAGCTTACCCCATCACTTGCACACCAGCTGACAGTCCTGTGTGTTGTCATGTTAAGGCTGGTGGCTGGCAGGATGTGCCCTCAAGGGCCCCGGCCACTCAGGCCTCGCTCTGCTTTCTCTCTGGAAAGGGATCTGTCCTACATCAAGATCATGGACGTGGGGCAGAGCTACGTGGTGAACCGAGTGGCTGACCATATCCAGAGCCGCATCGTGTATTACCTCATGAATATCCATGTCACGCCCCGCTCCATCTACCTGTGCCGGCATGGGGAGAGTGAGCTCAACCTCAAGGGCCGGATCGGCGGGGACCCGGGACTCTCCCCCCGGGGCAGGGAGGTCAGTGTGTGTGTACCTCTGGGCGGCTGGGTGTGTGCACGTATGTGCACTGGCTGGGCTCCAGCTCTCGTAGCTATTAGGTAATCATCAAGATGGATGACATTCCTTCTGTCTAGAATGTTGTTCCCATCATGTAGGGAAGGTCACCAAGCACCAAGCAGATACCTGGGTCTCTGGCTTCCATGTGAGCTGTCACCAGCTGGGACCCTTTCCTTGCAGAGACATGATGTTCTGAGTCCCTGCAGTACAGCCGATGGCTGCACCATAGCCCAGAGGAGATATTGAGGCCTTAGTACGGAGGGCATACGGCCTAGGGCATGTGGTCGGGTTAGGGGGCAGTGGCAAGGGATCTAATGAGCCACAACTGGGACTTCACTCAGGGTCTGGGAAGAATGTGCAAGAACAACACTTGTGGGTGTGGGTGCCATTGCAAGGTTGGTTCGGGTGTCTTACAAAGCCTGTGTTCTGACGCTGGGCATGACCTCATGGACCCTGTGGCTATGGGGTCTGAATTTGCCTTGATGTGTTTCAGTTTGCCAAGAGTCTGGCCCAGTTCATCAGTGATCAGAACATCAAGGACCTGAAGGTCTGGACCAGCCAGATGAAGAGGACAATCCAGACGGCCGAGGCCCTGGGTGTGCCTTATGAGCAGTGGAAGGTCCTCAATGAGATAGACGCGGTAATCACCACCCCTCCCTCCCCAGCCCAAGTCTCCCAGGCACAGCTGCGCTCAGCCAGGATGACAGTGTTGAGTCAGGGCGAGCTCTCCCCTTAACTTTTCCTCGTTGGTTAGTGTTGTGGTTTCTCACTTTCCCTTTCCTTCCCTTCTTTTGCATGTAGCTATCTAAATAAGCCAGAATTCATTCATTTTTTTTTT